CAAACAAACAAACCTGTTTCACCTAACGTAAAAAGCTAGACACTTTCTACAATGTGTTTGGTAAAGGTTTCCTGGCGGGGTGGATTTGTTATAAAGTTTTCTTTATATGTGTTTAATTTTCATTCAAGGGGTGAAAATTTGTCTGGTCGTTATGCTAAAGTTATATTTACTTTTGTATCTTTCCGTTCGAGATAAACTAATACTTTATATATATGGCATAAATACTTAATAAAGGCTTAACTAATGTTATGACTAAGATAAGTGGTCTTATAGATGTCAGTGTATAAATTATTTTATATTACTCTAGAAATCTTGTATATTTAAAGAACTACTATTGCAATAAAGATATTAATTTGGCCGCAAATATTTTTCGGGTTTCTGATAGTTTTCTAAATAAGGGACAGTGCCAATAATTGAGTTTTCTTCATTTAGTGGAGTGTTTTTTTTGTTTGTAAATTTGTTAATAGTTTGTGTAACTACTTTAATACAGAATTGGTTTATGGTAGTAAAGCACTGTGTTAAGTGTGCAACATCTTTATCGATGCTTTCTCTGCTGCATATAGTGTATGCTAAAGTTAGAACTTTTTAGAGCGGCTAGCTTTTGATGGATTACAGGATTATAAAACCAGTTTATGTAATTTCCACTGTATGTGTGTTTTCCCCCCATGAATTTTAGTGGTGAAGACGTGGGGGTTTGTGTGATGTTAACATTTTAGAAAAATATTGTGTTTTCATTCTCAACTGTGGAATGTTTATGTTTGTGTAGGTTGTTTATAAGTTAAATAAATTTTACTTGCTCATTTTGGCAAGTATAACCACAAAAAATCGTCATCTGCATATCAGCCAAAATGTATGTTTATGTAAGGAAGAGACCATGGCATGTCGTTATATTCGATGAAAGAAAAATAGTGGCCAAGGTACCTGATATCCGACTACCCATGACAATTCCATGTAATTGAAGGAAGTACGAATCTCTTTAGTAGAAGCAAGTAATGTGACTAGTTGTAACAGTTCGATTAGGTGTTCCTCTTTTATGTTGATTCCGTCTTTTGAGTCTTGTGAAGTAATTGCTGCACTAGGTTGTATTGCACCGTGACAAGGGATTTAAGGGAATATGTTTACGACATCAATGTTACACATGGAGATGTTACTGTCTAGACTATGTAAGTGTTGTAGCCAGTGTGAAATATATTTAATTGTGTGTTTATTATGGAAACATTAGGTTTTTGGAGTATCAACAAAGGTTTGGGTTTAAAGAGTTGTAAGAAGACAAAATTGGGCGTAAGGTTATAAAAATAGTCTTCAGATGTATAGTTAATAAATTATTAAACTAGCTTGAGTACTCGTCCCCTGAACGGAAGTTATTTAAATTAACGATTAATGAAACGTTATCTTAGAACATTAAAAAATTACTTCCGTTATATGTAATTGTAAAAAACGTCCATAAAAACTGCAAAACACAAAATGTGAAACCGCAACTTTGTATGCTTTTCGCCATGAACCCAACAAATCTTCATGAAGATCCACCGAGAGGGGGGGGGGGCTAAGTAGTGGTAAAAAAACGTGAAAATGCACAAATGCCCATAAAAACCGCAAAATGGAAAACTGAAAATTTCTATGTATCTTCCCATGGACCCATTGAACCTCCATACCACTTTTGGTGAAGCTCCATCCACACCCTGCGAAGTAGTTACATAGACATTACTATTATATTTATATAGACTAGCTAATATCCTTGTTAGAAGGAAGGTATCGTTGTACATCAACAAAGCTATTTACCATTTTCTTAGAACATTCTTTGAATATCAAATTATACATACAAGAACAATGAATTCAAAGGTTCACAAACGTGGGTGAGCTTTACATTTGAAATTTCTAAGTGGGTTTAAAAGATTCTAGTAAAAACATGGCATTGTAACAATCAAATTTATCTAAGAAACTTTGTCTCTAGCTTGGAAAGCGTAGTATAAAACTATGTTCATGCATGATTTTAGAACTCCTGAGAGAGTTCATTAAACAATTAAGGAGGATTCAAAACATCTGAGATCGTCTGTGTGAATTTGTTGCTGTTTCCAAGGGAAAGACACAGTTAACAGATCAACCAACGGTTGTGATGAATTTTTAGACGAGTGGATGAGATAAAAAGCATAAGAAAGATGAACAAAGCTGGTTAATAAGTGAGTTTTGAGTCAATTTTGACACTTATTTGAGTTTAAAACAAGATAAATATACAACAAACTAGTCCTCAGGGGATTATGAGGAGTTCTATAACACCATGGTGAGTTCACAAAAAAAGGCGAAAAAACACATAATAAACCTATTTGCGGGTAATATTCAGACATGTTAGATACCTTCAATGTTTTAAAAGCGACTTGTAAATTTTCCATATGGTATTACAATAACGTGCAGAAGTTCACTATCAGACCAAAGAAAAACAAGATATCACCTCCTGATTTACAGATGATTTGAGAGAGTTTAGACCACGTGACTTAATCTACCTCAAGGTTTGTTTCATACCTTTTGCGCAAACCTACAAGAAGGGCTATCTGCGCATAGCCATTCTTAATTTTAAGATGATCAAACAGAGTTAAGGTAGTTAGTCAAAACATAGTTAAGGCAACCGCGCCCACTACCAACTCTTGAGCTACTCTTGTCTGATAGAATAGTGGGATGTGACCCTCACTTTTATAACGCCACTACGACTCAAAGTGTATGCGGAGCGCGTTTATACAGTAGTGGGTCTCGAACCTGAAATCCTAGGATTCTCAATCTTAATATGCTAACCACTAGGCCACGTCCAGTCTCTATCTCAAGGAAAGACAAAAAATTCAGATTCCCACGTAACAAAAACATCTAGACTACGTGATTTGATATTTCCAAAGGCGTAGACAGCAGCTTCCAGTGACCATATGAGTTAAGACATTTTATGCAAAGTATGTTAATATTCCTCCATAAAACACACACACATACAGTAAAACAGAAGATATAACTTAGAAAATATTAAACACTTTAGTACATCTTAGGGAGTTCAGGCCAGATGAATACAAATTCCCGTATGAATACAGCAACTTCCAAAGCAAAGATCTGTGGAGAGCTTTCAATTCCCTAGAAAGGTTTTTTGTTTTAAATCGTCAGACCATCCTTAACAATAACAATACTAATAAAGATATTTCTTACAAGAACCATTAGTCTAATTACTATCGTACACCGCCGCGAGCTTATGTATGTATTTGAATTAATTAATTGTGTGTGTGTTTATAATATATACATACTTCAATGAACGTGGTTATAATACACACACACACACACATAACATACATACACAACAATTCAGGCAGTAAAACCAAAACCAGAAAATACTACACATGAAAGGAAGACATGAAAGCGCAATGTAGTTCCTACTTTTGCAGAATATTTTACTCTTCCCAAAATGTAGTTTATATCCCCGTTTGTTTGTTTTTTTATCCGTCTTTTAAGTGCAACATATTTTGGGCCTAAAAAGTTGTATTAAGCTATCATGAAAAGTGTTTGTAATATTTTGTTTGTCTTTTTGCGGTTTGGTTCCTGTAGATGTTAAGATTAACGTAACTCGTTTGAAAATTAAGTTTGTTTGTTTTTTGAATTTCGCGCAAAGTTGTCTAGGGCTGTCTGCGCTAGCCGTCCTTAATTTACAGTGTAAGACTAGAGTGAAGGCAGCTAGTCATTACCACCCACCACCAACTCTTGGGCTTCTCTTTTACCAACGAATTGACCGTCACATAATAACGCCCCCACGGCTGAAAGGGCGAGCATGTTCTGACGGGGATTCGAACCAGCAGATTGCGAGTTGAGCGCCCTAACCACCTGGCCATACCGGGCCTGAAAATTACTTAAACCACCATGACAATTTTTGTTTAATAAGTAGAACTGTGTTAAAGTCGAAATCACAAACTAAACTTCTCACCAGATCATTCTCAGTAAAAGAAAAAAAAAGAAATATTTATTAATTTTTAACGGGTAGTGAGGCATTTTATTCTATAGAAAAATAAATAAATATAGTTTTTAATATTTTTTACCTTGATGTCCACCAGTGGGTCAACAACAGGTTTACGGACTTGGGAATATGGGATTTGCTTCCCGCAGTGTACAGAACAAAGACAGACCATTGTGTCGCCAATAATAATAATAAAACACTTACCCTGATTTTCACCTGTAACATTTTCTTCATTATCAGCAGTTTCACAAGTCGGCATAACCGCCAAGCTGTCTTGCGCATGCGGGCGTAATGACGACATCGCGAAAGGGTTTAAATTTCCTGCTTGACATACCCCATTAGCTAGTATATCTATAGCTGTCGATTGGTATGATGTAGATAATTCCTCGTTCTTCGTCTCACCAGATGTCTCTTCAGTTCTAGTGTTACCTCTACTAGAGTCTATTTCACTAGTTATTACGACAACAGGTGGCGGAAGCGGCTTCGCTAGGACCTTCAACGCAGGAAGCTTACGCCTGGTGTTGACTTTCTCTTCTTCTACCACCATAGTTTTCTGCGTGTTTTTATATATCATAGAGCAGAGAGACCGGCTAGTTCCATAAACGGAATAGCCCCTGTGACGTCATTGATTACCCTTAATGTGCTGTGTTAGGATACTTCTACCATGGGCAAAGCACTGAAAAAATTTGACTTACTTATCGAATTCTGTAAACCAGCAAGTTCCACGTTTTGGTTTTAGCAGATTACGCTGTTGCAGTGTCTTCATAAACAATTATTAAGCTTTCCTTAAGACTGTATAGATGGCAGATGACAGAAAAGCTGGATTATTCGATTTGTATGTTCACATATCATCCGATGAAATTATCATATGACTCTTCTGGGATATTATATACCGTATTCTTAGCTTCAGCATATCAGTATACACCAGAACACCTGAAATACACCCAAAAACATGACTAAATCAGGTTTTTAAAATACTTAGAGATAAACAACATAAATTTAATTATATATATTTTTGTCCCTCATCACGTTCGTCATTGTAACAGCTTGTTTTATTTCTGCTTAAACAATTGTCATGTTTTAGAATCACGTTACTCTAAGATGCATATTCTTTTTCCGCGCCCACACATCGTCATGTCCACAACGACAACCCAGCAAACTTAACTTGGAAACCATTTTTGTGGATGTTTTCTAGAGTTAAGGTAAAATAAAAAAAAAATCTCTTCTTTGAAATAATCTAGAAAAATAAATCCCATATTTTAGATCTGCAACAATATATTTTTGACAACTAATAAACTTTTACCTTCTCCTTCTGGTGTACTGTGGGATCTGTACTTGTGGTTACTTGAGATAAAGAGATAAATATTTTCTATTATTAACTTACTTTTACAAGTAATGTACTTCTAGAGGTAGCTAGCTACCCGTCTTGTGGCTGGAGATACAGACATAAATTTCTCTTACTGTTGATTTACTTTTACAAGTAATGCACTTCTAGATGTATCTACATTTCCTGTCGCTTGAGATAAAGACATATTTCTCCTACTGTTACTGTACTTTTACAAGTAATGTACTTCTAAAGGTATCTAAACGTCTTGTCGCTTGAGATAAAGACATAAATTTCTCCTTCTGTTGATTTACTTTTACAAGTAATGTACTTATAATGTACTTTACTAATACCTGAAATACAAAATAAATTTATTCTGATGTTAATTTTCTTCTCGTCTCCTGAGATAAAGACATAAGTTCCTCTACTCTTTATTTACTTTTCCTAGTCACGTACTTCTAGAGATATCTAACCTTATTAACATTTGAGATGAAAAATTTTTGATCGGTTTCTTCCTGCTGTTAATTTACTTTTACAATAATGTACATCTAGAGATATCTATCCTTATTATCTCTCGAGTTAAAAGTATTTTTTCAGGTTTTTACTATTGTGCATTTAAATTTACAGAGCGGCGCCAGAGAGTAGATAGTTCCAAAGTGTGCTACAACGGTGAATAGTTCCAAGATGTGTTACTAGGGGTGCAAATAGTTCCAAAGTGCGTCACTAGGAGGATGGGATTTGAGATCATCACTATATACTAGATTAACTTACAATCTATATAGAGAATTATTTTTCGTATTGACATAAAACATTCAAACTCTAGATATATATTGTAATACGGCACATTATGAAATAATAAAAAATACTATTTCATTCTCCATAGTTCTTAAAATTACATTAAGTTATGCATTATCGTTAGGGTACACTTTCTGCTTTATAGTTTCACTTCAACATCAATAATAAACGAAGCGTTTGAATATGTAAAATGATTATTTTATATAATGAGACTTGATTATTTTGTATAATTACTTCATGATTATGCATATAATAGCTTAAATTCTAGTGAGTTTTGAGGGTTATTTTCTATATTAACAAAATCATACAAAATCTGGTTAAGTATCATATAAGAACATTAAAGTTGTATGCCTAAGCGAAAATGGACAATCATTTTCATTTTCTAATAACAAACAAAGTGATTGAATAAGTAAAATTATTATTCTGCTTCATCGTTCTTTGTTATAGTTTGACTATTTGTATAGAGTACTTCATGGTTTACTCATCTGATTATACATATATTAGCTTAATTTAGAGTCCACGTAGTCCTGAAAAGGACTATTTTTCGGATTAATCTAAACTTTCCAACAAACATTACTTAAGGTGAAAAAACCGGTAATGTTTACTTTCATTGAATCGGTAGTATGAACTGAATATAGTAATAACAAATATATCCGTGAACCCAGTTAGACCCTTATGAGTTGGCTGGGTGGTAGTAAATCAATCCACTAGTTTCCTGACCACAGCAACACAAAGTAGTATGAACTGAATATAGTAATAACAAATATATCCGTGAACCCAGTTAGACCCTTATGATTTGGCTGGGTGGTAGTAAATCAATCTACTAGTTTCCTGACCACAGCAACACAAAGTAGTATGAACTAAATATAGTAATAACAAATATATCCGTGAACCCAGTTAGACCCTTATGATTTGGCTGGGTGGTAGTAAATCAATCTAC